ATTTTATTTTATTTAATTATCTTTTTTTATTTATTTTACATACAGACCACAGTTTTCCCTACCTCCTCTCCTCCCATTTCCTCCTACCGACTCCCATCTACCCACCTCCCCATCTTCTTGTCTGTCTCCACTCAGAAAGGGGCAGGCCTCCCATGGGCTTGAACAAAGCATGGCACATCAAGTTGAGGTAGGACCTTGAGGTAGGAGATTTGCAAGCTCCTCCCCTTGCAAAAAGGCTGGGCTAGGTAATCCAGCATGGAGAACAGGTTCCCAAAAGCCAGCTAAGCACCTGGAACAGGTCTTGATCTCACTGCGAGGAACCTTACAAAGCTACGAACAAAATTAGAAATGAAAAGGGGGACATAACAACAGACACTGAGGAAATCCAGAGAATCATTAGGTCATACTTCAAAAACCTGTACTCCACATAATTGGAAAATCTAAAAGAAATGGACAATTTTATGGAGAGGTACTACATACTAAAATTAAATCAAGATCAGATAAAAAATTTAAATAGACCTATAACCCCTAAGGAAATAGGAGCACTTGTTAAAAATCTCCCAAATTAAAAAAAGCCCAGGGCCAAATGATTCAATGCAGAATTCTGCCAGAATTTCAAAGAAGAGCTAATACCAATACTCCTCAAATTGTTCCACACAATAGAAATAGAAAGAATATTGCCAAATTCTTTTTATGAGGATACAGTTACCCTGATACCTAAATCACACAAAGACTCAACAAAGAAAGAGCATTACAGACTAATCTCCCTCATGAACATTGATGCAAAAATACTCAATAAAATACTGGCAACCTAAATCTAAGAACATATCAAAAAATCATCTACCATGCTCAAGTAGACTTCCTCCCAGAAAGGCAGGAATGGCTCAACATATGAGAATCTCCCCAAGTAATCCACCATATAAACAAACTGAAAGAAAAAAACCACATGATCATCTCATTAGATGCTGAAAAAGCCTTTGACAAACTCAACACCCCTTCATGATAATGGTCTTGGAGAGAACAGGGATACAAGGAACATACCTAAACATATTAAGGGCAATATACAGTAAGTCAACAGCCAACAGCAAATTACATGGAGAGAAACTCAAAGTGATTCCACTAAAATCAAGAACAAGAAAGTTATATTTTTATATAGAAAAATGGTATGGAGTTTTTAGTTTTTCCTCAACTCTTGGTGGGTAACTTCATTTACTATTTCATAACAGAGTGGCATTGCTCCTTTGGAAGATCCAAAGATATCTGCCCAGATCAGGTATTCCTACTAAAACCTGCTGGGTAAATGAGCAAAAATGTGCAATTTCATTATATCTTTCATTTTGCAGATGAAAATACTCTAGTTTTATCTCTCCAAATACTATAGACAGCTTATTAAAACAAATAAAATAAGCAAAAGTTTATGTGAAACTTTATTCAGGATGTAAGCCCACTTTGTAAAGTCAACAGTGGAAACAGTTTTGTCTTCACCTTCCTGAACTTTCTGAAGTATATATAGCTAGACAAAAAATACTGCCATGCATATAAATCCTCATATTTTATAATACAAATTGTAACATATTAAAAAGAAATCATCCACGTAGTATAATAAAGATTGAACTGATCCCTGTGAATGGCTGCATAATATATTTCTGGGCTTTCAAAATATCTTAGTATACTAAATCAATCAACAGTCAATGTTGAGCATATCTCAAAGGGATACAAATTCATTCTTTTAGCCTAATAACTAATCAAAGGTTATAATAAGTGAATTTTGGCATCATGTAGATTTGCATACAATTTTTAAGAAGAAATTTCTGAAAAGGGGGAAGTAGTCTAAAATAAATACTCAATAGAAGACAAGAATAAATAAGGCATCTTTAAAACTATTATCAGTATATTAATAAAAATGAGAATAAAATATAAGAGCCAGTACAAGTCACATAATCTTGCTAAACAATGAACTGCATTGTCATTTCAAATTTTTAAACTTGTATTCAAGACTATATAGATATAATACATATGTAATAGAACATATGTGCACATGGTTATAATGAATACACACAACCTCTTGCACGCTATGGTGGAGGCACATATGATTTCTTTTCTTCTTTCCATAATCCAATGTGCCTCCACCACATTCCTGCCCAGAGACTTTGCTTTTCCCAGTCCTCAACAGACCTCAGTTCAGTGACTCAATCTCCAGAAGCTCTGGTTAGGGCTGATACCCCTTCATCACTTTGGGTACACATGTGTCTCCTCTTGAGAAATGCTACCTGTTCATCTTGCTTTAAGAAACACCTTGATTCAGAGAACTTAATGCCCTCTCACCTTGTATGTTACATTAATAGTTGTTCTCACACTCAGTTCTTACTTGTTTATTCCTGAACAGAAAAGATAACAGACAGGGCTGGAGAAATGGCTCAGTGGTTAAGAGTACTGGCTGCTCCTTAGAGGACCTGAGTTCAATTCCCAGCACCCACACGGTGGCTTACAACCATCTACAATGGGATCTGATGCCTTCTTCTGTCATGCAGACATGCATGCATATAGAGCACTCATATAATAAAATATATAAATAAACAAATCTTTTTTTAAAAAAAAAAAAGAAAGAAAGAAAAAGTAACAGACACAGCCACTCTTGATTTCTTTGCCTGTTTCATGAATTATATAAATTTGGGGTAGGCACATTCCTAGACAGCAGAGGCATTATTCCCTTGATGGAAAAGTAAGGTGTCAAGTGTCACTGGGCCAATTGCTTCATTATCCACAGTGTTTCCTCCAGGACCCAGAGCAGAATGGGAGCTGGCCCTGTACTCAAGGGCATGAGTTAAAGTATTGATGAAATACAAATTGTATAACTTTGTTTATGGCTCAAACAAGCAAAGACCATAACTAAAAATACTTACTACCGATGGTCCTGTAACAAAGAGCCGTGATATTCACACAATCAGTAAACCTATCAAATTTATATTTCTAAAACATTATAAAATTTATGTTTTCTGGAAAGCAACAGGCAACAGATAATTGCAAACTTTGAGATGCTTATATTTTAGCACCTGCAATTTCATTTCAGAACACACCCTCAGGAAATCATCAGCTGGAGAAGCATCTACATTTGTATGACTCTCAGTGCAATAAACATGAGAGAAAGATGAACTAAGAATTTCTGAAAATGTCAAGTAAGTTTTGAGATAAAACGCTGAACTACCTTAATACACTTGTAATATTAGATACAGTTTAATATTCCTTCCTATGTATATTTTATTTATATGTTTTTAACAAATGAATTTTATACTCTGCTAAGTGAAAATGATAGCTAAAATGGCTATAATTCTATTATATTTCTATTTTATGGTATATGCATATATGTGTATCTATATTTTGCTCTAAACATTTAGATAATTTGAATACAATCAGTGGATATTGAATTGTCACATAATTTAAAATTAAAATCAGCATATTATTGAAAATAGATCATAAGGGACAACACAAGTTTTGATTTTGTTAAGTGACTTTGACATCTGTCCCTTTCATGTCCCCTTGTTTCACTCTGATGGCTAAAGAAGCCTCAGAACCTCCACAGAGACCTCTCAAGCAAGAGCAACCACCAGTTCCATTTTTTCCCCTCTGATCTTCTCAGGATGCGTTGAATATGCACAACTGTTGTCATGGCAATACCTGATAAGGAAGAAAGTGATCAGGGAATTTCTTGGTACTCTACGCTGTCAAAGATGTTACAATATCACTTTCCCTAAGTTTACATATTTACTCTGTGTGTGTGTGTGTGTGTGTGTGTGTGTGTGTGTGTTTGTATAAAGCATGTGTGCATGAGCAATAGTGCAAGTGTGCACATCAGAGTAAAAACTTGAGGGAGCTGGTGCTCTCTTTCCACCATGTGGGTCCGGGGCATGGAACTCAGACCATCAGGCTTGGCTGCAGGTGCTTGTACCCACTGAGTCACCTCACCAGCTCCAAAAATGTCTTATGAATAAAAAGTTCTGTCATACTGGAAATTAAGATCAACTCTGAGACTTATATCACTATATAAAACACAATAAAATAAATCAACAAGAATGCAGTCATAAAAGAGCAATAATCTTTACTGCAAACTCTGGCAATGCATTTCCTTTTTAAGTTTCTTATTTGTAACATGGTAGAAATCTCACATTAAATGGTATTTGAGATATTTGCCTGTGTCTACACAGGTAGTCAAGGAATTCTTTGAGTTATGCATGAGCTACAGCATCAAGTGCAGATGAAGAGGTAAAGGAAGTCCTTATATCTAGAACCAGTAAACTATCAACAGGTGCCAGAAGGTCCTCCCTAGTAGTACTAGCAAACAACTGGAAAGGCAGCTCACACATAATTTTGATAAAACTAGACAAATGATAATTTATTTAAAATAAATTTCTTATCTGAAATGCATGAGTAGAAAACATGAGAGGGGAAACATTTGTGTGGGCATGCCCATGAAAAACCAGGGATGTCAATCATTTTGAACACTACCTAAAAAGGCAGTGTAGCAATGGTACCTGAATCATGTTACTCTTCAAGCTATATAAATAACCAGAAAACTCACCAGAAAGGGAAATGAGAACATAGGAATTCTCCAAAATAGCATGTGTGTGCATGTATGTATATGTGCCCTCTAATACAGGATACATTAAAACAGAACCTATTGGGTTAACATTTTGTTACACATAGGATGTGTGTGTGTATGTGTGTGTGTGTGTGTGTGTGTGTGTGTGTGTGTGTGTGTGTGTGTTGTGTGTTTTCCCATTACTCCATCAGTGCATCAATATTTGTATTCAGTATATATTAGTTCTATTAGTAATATAGAACTATATTAGTTCTTGCAAAGTGTCAGAAGATAAATCTTAGGAAATCCCTCTTCAGTAATACATTTCTGAATACTCTCCCTGGAATAGTCAATAACATGCTTTGTCTTTGCTCCACAGTTCTTAATTTTATCTTGAATCGAGTCTTGTCTTTGCCATAAGAAGATGGGAAGCAATCAGACATGGATCACAGAGGTTACCCTGCTGGGGTTCCAAGTTGATCCCACATTGGATTACTTCCTCTTTGCAATATTTTCTGTCTTTTATACCTTCACCCTGTTGGGGAATGGGGTCATCCTTGGAATAATATCCATGGCCCCAAGGCTTCACACCCCCATGTATTTCTTCCTCTCACACCTGGCCATCCTTGACATGTCCTATGCTTCCAACAATGTCCCCAAGATGCTAGCCAACCTTGTGACCCAGAAAAAAACCATCTCCTTTGTTCCATGTATCATGCAGACATTCTTGTATTTGGCCTTTGCAGCTACAGAGTGCTTGATTTTGGTGGCAATGTCCTATGATAGGTATGTGGCCATCTGTCACCCCTTACACTATACTGTCATCATGAGCTGGAGAGTGTGCATTGCCCTGGCTGTTGCTTCCTGGGGCTTTAGTTTACTGCTGGATATGGTTCATTTAATTCTCATCCTGAGGCTGCCCTTCTGTGGACCTCATGAAGTCAATCATTTCTTCTGTGAAATCCTGTCTGTCCTCAAGCTGGCCTGTGCTGACACAACACTCAACCAAGTTGTTATCTTTGCAACTTGTGTGTTCATCTTAGTGGGACCCTTATGCTTGGTGCTGGTCTCCTACACACGCATCCTGATTGCCATCCTGAAGATCCAGTCAGGGGAGGGCCGCAAAAAGGCCTTTTCTACCTGCTCCTCCCACCTCTGTGTGGTCGGGCTCTTCTTTGGCAGTGCCATCGTCATGTATATGACCCCCAAGTCTCAGCACCCCGAGGAGCAGCAGAAGATCCTTTCCCTGTTTTACAGCCTTTTCAACCCCATGTTGAACCCCCTGATCTACAGCCTGAGGAATGCTGAGGTCAAGGGTGCCCTGAAAAGGATTCTGTGGAAGGGGAGGCATGTGTGAGAAACAACCTGGCGAGGGAGAGGCTCTACCCCTTGTAAAATTTGATGCCTGTTTTTTTTGCCCTTTCTAGAATATATGTTACCTTACAATGGACTATTATGTACTCTCATTTAAAAACTGAAGAACATGTAAAACTGAAGATAGTGGAAAAATAAATGAATGCCTTAATTACTTATTACAAATACATTCACAGAAAAGGCACACAAACAATAAGTATAAAAATGCCTACTTTCTTAATATTAGACTTCTTTAAAATTACAAATTCATCATTAAGAAATGGAACATGAGGCTATAGACCAAATAATAAGATTCATACCAATTGTTGTCTGTTTTTGAAACAGAATAGAACTATGTAGAGCAAACTGACCTCACACTTGAACTCATCATTCTGCCTCTGCCTCTATAGTGAGGAGCTAATAAGCTTCCAACACTATGCCCATCTCATACTACCTAGTAGATAAAAAGCTTTCAAATGAATAATATATAAAAATTAGCTTATAAAAAAGAGAAAATAAATGGAATTGACTTTTCATTATAAACACAATAGTTGATAAGTACAAGGGCTGGTGCTCATCACCGTTAATCAATAAAAAAAAATGTGAATTACATCACCATGATATACCATTTCATGCCCAACAGAGTATTTAAGCATTTCAATGGTTTGTTCACTCTATCAGAAACTATCAGAAACATATCCCCAATAGTGAGAAGCAATCCATACTACCAGATAATAAATACTGGAAGTGTGTTAACCTATGAAATACACAAAAGCATATTTGCACATTAAACTGTGGGTCTCAACTCCACCTGGAGACAATCAACTGAATGTGGTGCTGGAAAGAAATTGAAAATAAAAGGTTTCTGCATCACTAAAGGCTTTGTTCTGAACACACAGTCTGCACATGCCATCATACAAAATAATGTCAGTGAATGCTCCCTGAATTCTCAGATCCAAGCCATCATGAGTTACAGTGTTTTCACCAAACATCGATTTCAGCTCTTATAGAAATAATTGTTTAAATATAGAAAACAAAGACTTCTAATATTTTTCCACTCTCATTACTCAGTATAAAAATAGTATATCTTTCAATTTTATTATGTTAGAATAATTGAGTCTAAAAGTTGATGTTTGAGTTGCTAGCTTGAGTTTTATAAAAAATAGTTACATGGAGGTGAGTGTCCTGGCTCAGCCCGGACCCCATCCCTGGTCACCAGCCACTCTGGGAAAGACCTGCCCAACTTGGCCCCAGGTTCTGGCCACCGGGCTGGTTCCCTTCTAGCCCCATCGGGAAGGATCCCCTTCTCCAAGACCCCCGACAGACCCAGCAATCTCCATGCCCTGCCCCCACACCCATCTGCCTGAGACCCTTGCCACTTCCTGAGATTTAGAGGCCGGCCTCCAGCTCCCATCCTGCCCTGGACTTCCCTTCTGGGAGAGAGAGAGAGAGAGAGAGAGAGAGAGAGAGAGAGAGAGAGGAGCTCCCATCCTGCCCCAGACTTCCCTTCTGGACAAGAGTGCCCATCCTGCCCTGGACTTCCCTTCTGGACAAGAACGCCCATCCTGCCCCGGACTTCCTGTCTGGACAAGAGCTCCCATCCTGCCCTGGACTTCCCTTCTGGACAAGAGCTCCCATCCTGCCCCAGACTTCCCATTTGGACAAGAGAGCTCCCATCTGGACAAGAGAGAGAGAGACTTCCTGAATCTGTCAGCTCTGTCTGAACCAAGTGTGCTGATAAGACCAAGAACGAACCATAAGGAGATGGGCAGATGTCAAGGCAGAAATACAACAAAATGAATAGCAATACAGCATCACCAGAACCTAGCCCTCCTCCAATATCTAGACCTGAACATCAAAAATTGGAAGAAGCAGAAGAAAACAGCCTTATGAATGACATCATGAAGAAGGTAGAGGTTTGAGTAAGGGAAAAGACAAAAAAATGGGAAGAACGCTGTAAACAACTAGAGGAAAGGGCAAACAAATTAGAAGAAATCAATAAAGTCCTGGAAGAAAACAATAAAGTACTGAAAGAAAATCAAGAAAAAGCAATGAAACAAATGAAGGAAACAGTCCAAGACCTGAAAAGGGAAATAGAAAAAATGAAGAAGACACAAACAGTGGGGATAGAAAATCTGAGTAAACGATCGGGAACTTCAGATGCAAGTATAACCAACAGAATGCAAGAGATGGAAGAGAGGATCTCTGGCATTGAAGATACAGTAGACGATATAGATTCATCAGTCAAAGAAAACACTAAAGCCAACAAAGTCATGAACCAAAATGTCCAAGAAATTTGGGACACCATGAAAAGACCAAACATACGAATAATAGGGGTAGAAGAAGGAGAAGAATACCAACTCAAGGGCACAGAAAATATATTCAACAAGATCATAGAAGAAAACTTTCCCAACTTAAAGAAGGAAATGCCTATGAAGATACAAGAAGCCTATAGAACACCAAACAGACTAGACCCCCCAAAAAAGTCCCCTCGCCACATAATAATTAAACAACTAAACGTACAGAATAAAGAAAGAATATTAAGAGCAGCAAAGGAAAAAGGCCAAGTGACTTATAAAGGCAAACCCATCAGAATAACACCCGATTTCTCAATGGAGACTTTGAAAGCCAGAAGGACCTGGACAGATGTAATGCAGACACTAAGAGACCATGGATACCAGCCTAGACTAATATACCCAGCAAAACTTTCAATCGTCATGGATGGAGCGAACAAGACATTCCAAGACAAAGCCAGATTTAAACAATACTTATCCACAAACCCAGCCCTACAGAAAGCACTAGAAGGAAAATTCCAACCTAAGGAAGTCAGATACACCCTCGAAAACACAGGCAATAGATAAAGCCACAGCAGTAAACCCCAATGAAGAGAAGTACACACACATTACAACCAAAAAATAACAGGAATGAACAATCACTGGTCATTAATATGCCTCAATATCAATGGACTTAATTCACCTATAAAAAGACATAGGCTTACAGAATGGATATGAAAGCAGGACCCATCTTTCTGATGCTTACAAGAAACACATCTCAAATTCAAAGATAGACACTACCTAAAAATAAAAGGCTGGGAAAAGACTTTCCAATCAAACGGTCTTAAGAAACAAGCGGGTGTAGCCATCTTGATATCCAGCAAAATAGACTTCAAACTAAAATCAATCAAAAGAGATCAAGATGGGCATTACATACTTATCATAGGAAAGATCCACCAAGATGAAGTCTCAATTCTGAACATTTATGCCCCAAACACAAGGGCACCCACATTTGTAAAAGAAACATTACTAAAGCTTAAATCACAAATAAAACCCCACACATTAATAGTGGGAGACCACAACACCACACTTTCACCACTGGACAGATCTCCCAAATTGAAGCTTAACAGACAAATAAAGGACTTAACTGATGTCATGACTCAAATGGACTTAATCGATATCTACAGAACATTCCATCCTAACAAAAAAGAATATATTTTCTTCTCAGCACCCCATGGAACCTTCTCTAAAATCGACCACATACTTGGCCACAAAACAAATCTCAACAGATACAAAACAATTGGAATAACCTCCTGTGTTCTATCAGACCACCATGGTCTAAAGTTAGGTTTCAACAACAACAAAAACTACAGAAAACCTACAATCTCATGGAAACTGAATAATACCCAACTGAATCACCAATGGGTTAAGGAAGAAATAAAAAAAGAAATTAAAGACTTCCTAGAGATCAACGAAAATGAAGACACCACATATCCAAACCTATGGGACACTATGAAAGCAGTACTAAGAGGGAAATTCATAGCACTAAATGCCCACATAAAGAAGTTGGAGAAATCTCACACTAGAGACTTAACAGCATACCTGAAAGCTCTAGAACAAAAAGAAGCAAAGTCTCCCAGGAAAAATGGACGCCAGGAAATTATCAAAGTGAGACCTGAAATCAATAAAATAGAAACAAAGAGAACAATACAAAAAATTAATGAAACAAAGAGTTGGTTCTTTGAGAAAATCAACAAGATAGACAAGCCCTTATCCAAACTAACCAAAAGACAGAGAGAGAGCATCCAAATCAACAAAATCAGAAATGAAAAGGGGGACATAACCACAGACATTGAGGAAATCCAGAGAATCATCAGGTCATACTTCAAAAACCTCTACTCCATAAAACTGGAAAACCTAAAAGAAATGGATAACTTTCTGGATAGGTACCACATACCTAAGTTAAATCAAGACCAGATAAACTATTTAAATAGTCCAATAACCCCTAACGAAATAGAAACAGTCATTAAAAGTCTCCCAACCAAAAAAGCCCAGGACCAGATGGTTTCAGCACAGAATTCTATCAGATCTTCAAAGAAGAGTTAATACCAATACTCTCTAAATTGTTCCACGCAATAGAAACAGAAGGAACATTACCAAACTCCTTCTATGAGGCTACAGTTACCCTGATTCCTAAACCAAACAAGGATACAACAAAGAAAGACAACTATAGATCCATCTCCCTCATGAACATTGATGCCAAAATACTCAATAAAATACTGGCAAACAGACTCCAAGAACACATCAAAACAATTATCCATCATGATCAAGTAGGCTTCATTCCAGGGATGCAAGGGTGGTTCAACATACGAAAGTCCGTCAATGTAATACACCATATAAACAAACTCAAAGAAAAAAACCACATGATCATCTCACTAGATGCAGAAAAGGCATTTGACAAAATCCAACACCCCTTCAAGATAAAGGTCTTGGAGCGATCAGGAATACAGGGAACATACCTAAACATAATAAAGGCAATTTACAGCAAGCCAACAGCCAACATCAAATTAAATGGAGAGAAACTCAAAGCAATCCCACTAAAATCAGGAACAAGGTAAGGCTGTCCGCTCTCCCCATATTTATTCAATATAGTACTTGAAGTTCTAGCCAGAGCAATAAGACAACATAAGGAGATTAAGGGGATACAAATTGGAAAGGAAGAAGTCAAGCT